AAGTTACACAGGCTCAGACTTGGTAGAATGCCACAAATTATCATTATAAATGATATAATTTTAGGGACAAAAAAGATCTCAGAGACTTCCCATTTAGCGGTCCTGGGTGCGGGAACAGAAAAGGATCAGAATCAGCTGGGGAGGTGTCTGTGGTGTGGAGGGGGTGGGGGGGGAGAGAAAGAGAGAGCAGAAGGGGAGGAAAGAGGAAAGGGGGAGAGGGGAGGGAGGGCGTCCTCAGAACAAGAACCTGCAAGGCAGAGCAGCACGTATGTATCCTTTGAAAACCTTGCCAGCTGTGATCATCTGCCATCCTTCCACGGTTCTGTTAACTGCACGATCAAGCTCACACTTCTTAACTCACGAGCCAGCTATACAAAGACCTAGTTGCCTCAACAAGCTATGACATCTCATGGCTCCCGCAGCTTTGTTCAAGTCACCTCTAAGAATGGCATTCCTATCAAACGCCGGAGCATCTGTTACATGCGTGCTATTGTGGTATGTGTTGGGGATATGCCTTGTCTAACCAAGACAGACACAGCCTCTTTTGTCCGTAACCCTGTGCATGGTGGTACCAGTTGTTGAGACAGGGCACTTACAAATGGCCGTTCGCCACCGTTCGCCTGGAAAACCCTCAGCCATCAACCACAGCTTCTGTACACCTCCTCTGTGTACCACGTCCAGATTCTCCCTTTAACGCAGGACCAAAACGGTCATCTTCTCCGCTTTAGTCTTTACATTTTCATCTAGAATACTTCAATAAACTTGTCTTTGGTGTCTTCCCTACAAGATTGTGAGCTTCCTGTCATGTGTCTTATACATTTTTGTATTCCCAGTCCTTCAATCATTGTGGAATGAAAAAATAAATTACTAAATGAAGCCACTTCTTGAGCCCTGTTGATGACAGCTCTCCAATATTCACAGTCTAAAGCTCAAACTTCTCCCAATCTGGTCTAACTCAATGTCTAATCCAGTGGTTTTTAACCCAGGCTTCACATTAAAATAACTCGGGGAACTTAAAATATTGATGCCCAGGCCCCCCTAAAGATTCTTGATTAATTTGGTCTGGGAGTGGTACCTGGGTTATCAAAAGTATTTTTGAAAGTACTCTAAGTGATTCCTACACGCAGCCAGGGTTGAGCGTCACTGCTCATTAACTGGCCTTCCCTACGCCATGCTGGAGAAGTATTTACCATCATAAAATAAATACTCACCCAGGAGCACGATACAATGAGGAGGCCAAGTGAGAAGAATGACGTGAAGGATTTTCCCCCTATCTTACTTTGCAGAGTGGGCCTCTCCTTATTGCTAGTTAAACAGGCCTCTCCTTGTACCTCCCTTTCAACTGCTCTGGTGGATCCATTCATTCAACAGTTACTGACAGCCCCAAACGTACAGGGCACTGTTCTACAGGCTAAGAACACGGCATGAACAAGGTGGACAAGGAACCCTGAGGGAGCTGAAGGAAAGATGGACAACAAATAAACAAGGTAAGTTCACTTAGGGACGCCACCAGTAGCATGCTGGTAATGTGCAACTATGGGAGAGCCCTGATTTATAGCATCTGACAGTTTCTGGGGTATACACGCTCCCACCGTGGCAGATTTCAAGCTACCAATACGACCTCACTGAATGTGGAGCTGGGAGGAGATGCAAGGAGCCACCGTTCTCTAGGATTTCTACCGCGTGACAGATGGAAATAACTTCAAGAGCATGGATAACAGGAAAATTTAGTAAAATAATTAGGAAGTGCGAGTTCTGAGGTATTCATTTTTTTTTTTTTTTTTTTTCGGTACGCGGGCCCCTCACCCTCTG